TAGTTCGAACGCCGAGGGCGGCAGCGCCGGGCCTGTTCGAGCGGCCCCCGAGCGGCGCGTTGCGCTGCGCCTAGTGCTGCCGAGTTGGACCGCGCGTACCCCAGACCCTGCTGGTTTAGTTCCGCCGTGTGCTAGAAAAAATGTACCTTTGGCGATTGATAAAGATAACCGCCCTTTTAAGTAATTTGTGGGGATGATTACCAAACGAGAGGCGATCTTTCAGATTTTAGCGAACTAGATAAACACGGATGGGCTGGACCGTATCAGAGCAGGACCTTCCACTTACGGCAGAGTTTATCTCCCACCGCTGCAGGATGAAAGCTTGGAAATCGTGCAGCCGATCAACAAATGCCATCTGAATATACCTGCCTACCGGCGTCCTTACGCAACAGCTGAGGCTGAGGGCTAGTTTCAGCTTCATCATCAACTTTCAGGTCAGTTAGTTTCATATCTGTACATTGGTCTTCAGTGCGAAGAGACCTCCTCACGCTCTACAACTACCTGAAAGGACATTGTAGAGAGGTTGGTGCTGGTCTATTCTCACAGATGATTAGTGACAGAACAAGGGGGAATGGCATTAAACTGAAACGGGGGAGGTTCAGACTGGACATTAGGAAAAAAATTTTCACAGGAAGAGTGGTCAGTCAGTGGAATAGGCTGCCCAGGGAGGTGGTGGAGTCACCATCCCTGGATGTGTTTAAGGGTCGTTTGGATGAGATGGCGGGGGATGTGGTGTAAGGAAGAACTTTGTAGAGTAGGGCTGATGGTTGGATTTGATGATCCCAAGGGTCTTTTCCAACCCGAATGGTTCTGTGATTCTGAGACACAGTAAGTTTAACATTAGAAACTTAGTTTTCCAGCTTCTCCCAACAGTTGGTAGCCTTTTTTTTTGAGGTCTTATCAAGTCTAATATCTGCATTTTACACAAAATTACTCAAATCTTAATTGTAGAAGGTGTTTTTTTAAGAGCGCAAGATGAAAATTTGATGCTACTTGTTACTGCTGAAGGAAGATAAGTAGTGTTTGCCAGTTCAGCTCAACATAAGGGTAACTAAAGCTATTTTTTATTCATGTAAAAAAATTAGCACTAGGGGGAAGTTATTTAATATGTTCTTCTAAGGCTGAAGCAGTAGTTGGGAGAAAATTTCAACACTAATAAATGTTGAGGAGCATGAATTCTGCCATACAACTGTGCTGCATGATACACTCTGGCCAGGAAACAAATGTAATCATGTTATTTTGGGCAGCGATTGATTTGCATGTCTAAACTTAATTTCTCTTCAGGTGTGGATAGTGTATTTTGTCATAACTGTTACAGATTTTTCAGAGAGTTATAGGATGGTTTGAGTTGGAAAGGACTAAAGATAATCTAGTTCCAAGGCCCCTGCCATGGTCAGGGACACCTTCCACTAGACCAGGTTGCTCAAACCCCCATCCAGCCTGGCCTTGAACACTGCCAGGGAGTGACAAAATTTCTATCTGGCAAGTAAAATAAAAATAAGTACTCCCTTTACTTCTGGTGGGACAGAAGAGAGGAAGATGAGGTGGGCATTTCCCAGTAAACTCAGAAGGCTAGTCTGGAGTTACACCTAGTCTGTAAGTGTAAATTGTACGTGCTTGAAGTAGATGTGTTGTATCAGGTATAATTGATAGAGGAGCTGTGGTGA